GTGCACACACAAAAAAGTTACTGGTAGCACTTAACATACATTGCTAACGCAGGTGAGAGTGTGATTTTTGTGCAAATTTGGCTCGCGTATTGTTGTCACAAATGATTCAACATGTTGCATATTTTTGCTACAAGTAAACTATTGTGCACGCGTTGTAAGCTCTCAGTTCAAACAATGTTTCATACACGCATGCGTAGCTCCTTTTACTGACCAAATAAACATACTTGTTTCCAATTCTATCAGGTGAATTGTTTTTGCAGTTTTGACGATCGCTTTCATCGCGTTGAAAAATTCAATTACAAACTCGTGTATTTTAAAGCATGCATTTAATCTTCGGTTTATAGCTTATTTTATAGTTAATATATTTTTTTATCGTAAACGGACTGTTTAGCATCTTTACTGCAAGTATAACATAAATGTCTTTAGAAATTATTTTTGTGTTATTCGGTCGAAATTCAACTTTCATGACAGGTATCTTTCCAAGGACTTATTGATTTGTGCATTCAAATGAGATGGTGTAAAACCAGCCAGCAATGTAACATTCTTCAAATTTCCATTACGATCACTTACCTCTAACCAAAATTTTATAATAAAGGTGCGAATGTGGCGCCTTTAGTGTCTCAACGTTATTTCTTGGCTTACGTAGACCCTGGGCAGTGCACACACAAAATAGTTTCTGGTGGCACTTAGCACTCATTGCTTATGCAGGTGTGCAGTGTGACCTTCTGCAATTTTGGCACGCGTACTGTCAGACCCGCAAAGAGAGAAGGAGAGTGGGGAATTTTGGCCTGGGTTGTCAATATCGGAGCCCCATTCTAAGCACACGAGAATTTAAAAATTGAAGTAAATGGCAAAAGTATAATACTTTGTGTGGATTTATGATACCATTTTTTAAAATGCATAATTACAATTGATGCTTCTTTCATCGTGATGCGTGTTATTCGCATGATTTTTATAACAACACTTTCTATCAACATAGTCATAAATTAGGACATGGTTGCTGACTTGTTTTCTCGACAAAGTGCAAGAAAAAGAAAATTTTAAAAACTAGACTCCTGCTCCTAATGATGTTATTAGCATTTAAACTGACGTTATAGTTTTTGTGTGCTACAACACCAATGGTTATGAATACATGGAGGTGCACATGAACCCTCTCTTTATTGCGGGCCTTTATTTACTTATGTTCACAATTGTTCAATTTCCTTAAATTCATTCACGTTTGCGACAAAAACGTCGTCTTTTAATTGTTGCTCTTCCTACTAATGTTACATATAAGTAAGAAGAGCAACATTTTTTCTTCCTTATAGCCTTCACTATATCCTCATGCCAACTTTAACATATCAAATCACTGTCCGCAACGGTTTGCGTGCCAAAATTGCCGAAAATCAAACTGTACACCTGCATATGTTAATGCCACCAGTGACTCTTGTGTTCGTTGGGTATAAAAAGCCAAGCAATCATGTTTAGACGATGGCTACAGACCTTAGAGCTTTACATTTGCGCCTTCACAAGAAAGATTGTTTAGAGGGTAAGCGATCGAAACTTTTTTCTTTACCGATTACAATGTAATAAATCTTATTTTAAAATGCATTAAACTTTATGTCTATGCAGTCGTCGAAACTGCAAGAACAATTCACACTAGTACACTTATTTGATCTAAAAGATAAAAAAGTGCATATTATATTAGCTAAAAATCTTTTAGCTAATGACATTGTAGGCTGTGAGAACTTAGTTTGCCAAAAAAAGAGGGCGTTATATTATATTGGCCCGACAAAAAGGATCGTTTTTGTCAGAATTTGTTGTAAATTTCGTAGAGCAATTTTATACACAAAATGAAAAACCAATTGAGCTATTGATTCCAACTTTCCATTGATGAGCTAAGTAAATTAATTTATAGAAGTTCTTTTAAGATTTGAATACTAAAAATATCTAATTGCAGCTGCAGGAAGCGAGAAAACAAGTGCAAGTTATGAATTATCAATTACAAAGTATCATGTCTCGGTGTCACTAATGTCATTTGTTTAAACCAGGCGCGAACAAGCGGGCCAATACTCATTCGCCAATTAAAATTATTGTTGAATATAAAACTATAGTTTATTTAGACTTGCAAACTTGGATGTATACAACGATGATACACAAATAGATACATAGATAAACATACCTGATTCACCATATAATTCTTACATGATCATATGATGTGCTGCCAATAATGAAATATATAATTGGAAGAAAATTACATAAATTATGTCAGAAAAACTAAAATTTAATAATTAAACTAAATATATAAGAAAAGAAATAACAGCAGCTACTATTATCCAATATAATATAATAAAAAAGGTCTATAAACATATTTTATGATCGTGAAAAGTAATCACTTGTTCTGCAATATAGGATGATTATTTAAGCATCGACAATGTTTATTGATATTTTCAATGATATAACATAGCAGTAGCTATGACAGCTATAGATAATGCTCATTGATATACAGTAGTTCAAAAATACTTTCTTAACTGAGGAGCTATCAAATGTTATTCAGACTTGATTTGCTTTCCATTACGTTTTATAAAGGGTTTTATATGGGTGTCGTTCGGACAGTAGCAAAAGCTAAAATAGGAATTAAGGTCACAACAAATCAAAATGACTAAATCTGTAAAAATATCAAGAGGAGCTTTTCTCATCAGGGTGTATAGAGAAACACATTTTGTAAGAGTTTCTTTGTAGTTTGTTTATGAACTAGTATACTTTGAACAATTATTGCCAAAAATTAACGTTTGCGTCCCTATCTTTTAGGATTCATTTTGGTTGTTTGTGAATTTGGTACACTATGGCAAAAGTAACTTTTTTGGTGTGTCTATTTTTGATCCAATATCTGATACAAATTGTAGGTATGTTGCTATAATTGAAATGAAATAAAACTATTGTTTTCTTTTGATGATAAAGTCAAGGCTTCAACAAAGATCTTTACTGCTATACTTTCATCTACTTCACAAAACAATTACACAATCTTTAGTAATTATGAGCGTTATCTGAATACAAAATGGTAAGTTTGAATCAGCAGCTTTTCACTCTCTCCAGCGCGATTTTTGAAGAATTCAATTTCCTATGTACATTTAATGAACATCAATTAAATTCTGAGATCAAACCTTATGAAAATAAACTCAAAATTTGATTTCATTGATTAAGCTTGACCAAAATTTCCTTGCAAATCTAATTTTTGAGATTTAGCCATGTATTGGACTACTTTACCATACCAAGAAAATAGAAAAAAGAAATTGAAGAGTTCATACTTGCTTTAACTCTCTACGAGCCGGACTTTTTCAAATGTTTGTAAACATTTCGTTTGGTGATTGTTGCCGGGTGGAGCAACAACGGCCTCCAGAGAGGGCAAATTTATAAAAACTCACTCACAGCCGCACCTTTTACAGATTGCAATCTTCATCAGTAAATTGCCTACGTATGTTGTTACAAGCGTTACCCGTTGCGCTGCATGAGTTTCACATGGATTTTGGCGAGCGTACGTTCCACGTACGACGTCGTGTTATGTGTTGTTAACCCTCTAGGAGCCGCAGACTTTTTCAAATGTTTGTACACATCTCGTTTGGTGATTGTTGCCTTGTGGCAACAACGGCCTCTAGAGGGTTAACATTTTGCTCTTGGATTCAAAATGTCTAATATAATTTTTTCGAACGCTTAAAAACGCACACAATATATGGATTTATTAGTTACAATTATCTTATTGAAATCAAAATTCATGCAAAAGTTTAAAAACTAGCTAACTAAAAAAGTAAGAAAGCACAGAAGGATCTGCGACCGAAACAAAAAATTCATTACACATCAAAAGAACATTACTTACGTAAACTTATGCACTATTCGTTAAAGTTTAAGTCAAAAGAGAAAGATTTTGACTTTAAATCAAATAATAAACAAGAATTTCCAGTCAATATTCACGGTTATAAAAAAAACTGAAAAAGAATTACCAAACAAAGCTTTCCCTTTTTCAAACCATTGTTCATTGAGAATCTCGTAACAACCCGTTCTCCTATGGAAAGGCTCAATATTCACAATGTTTTCAAAGAAAATATCTTGCAAAATATCTTGAAAAGACTGTACAGATACTTAATTGATAAAATACAAACTTGATAATATAGATAACATGATATAATCATAACTATGATTATAATAAGGTTCCTCATCTTGTGAGAAAAATGGAACTGGTCTTGGTGACATAACTAAGATCGTCGGAGGTGTAGGTGCCAAAAAAGGTGCATGGCCATGGCAGGTTGCTCTCATGAAGGGAAATCGCATATTCTGCGGTGGTTCTTTAGTATTAAAACAATACATAGTTACAGCAGCTCACTGTGTATACGACATATCAAAATGGAAAAAAATAAAGGTAATTCTGTTGAAAAGGTACAATAAAATTTGTGAACTCTACCATTTTCAAGGGACATTAAAACATACGTAAAAGATGCTTTACTCAACTTCAAATATCTAAAGATTTGCTTTATCCTCTTTACAAATTAATTGTGACACGTTTGATGCTTGTACAGGTAGGATACGGTTCGAACAAATAGGATAAGTTGACAAAGTTCATTCACATCAAGCGAAGTGACGTCAAAATTCATGAAAATTACAACAATTATACAGACGATTATGATATTGCCGTCATTAACCTAAAAAAATCAATCGAATCCACCAAACCAAAAATAAAAAGTGTTCTCTTGAACGAAAAAAATGATGGTTTGACAGGTACGAAAATAAATTATATAAAAAACGTAATTAAAATTTTTACTTTCGCAATTTATCAAAACTCAATCCATTAATATACACTTAATGATAAGGTGTCATAAACATATATTAAACGGAGTAGAAATTAAGTAATTTTGACCAGAAAATGACATAAAAAAATCACTTCAGTAATAACTTATTTTTCTTATAACATATGTAACCGCCATTTCTAAGCTTTTACAAACATTTTAACAAAGATACTAAATCACATAATAATATATATAAATACAATTGTGCTTTCTAACTTTAGTCTCCTTCTTCATGAAAAATTAACCACAAGAGAAAAAACACTTTAATATGTACACTCAACAATATATTTTTATCATGCAAACAGGAAAAGAATGTTTCATTACTGGTTGGGGATATATAAATAATGAAAAAGAGCAGCCAAATCAATTACAACAAGCAAAGGTTCCTATCGTGGACATTAAAATATGCCGAAAAAAATATAAAGGAAAAAAAATAACCAAAAATATGCTCTGTGCAGGGTATATAGGAGTTGACTCATGTAATGGAGATAGTGGAGGTAAAAAAAGGAATAACAAAAAAATTTAGTTGGTATCAATGAAACTTTCAGATAAGTAATTTTTAAATTCACCATAATCCTAACCCTAACCCTAACTCTTACCTTAACCCTAACCCTAACCCTAACCCTAACCCTAACTCAAACCCTAACTCGTATAAGTTTCTAGTTCTACTTCTTGAACATTTTCTTAAATCATTCTGGCCAATAACATAAGAATTTTACTCTAGCTAATTCTGTCAAGGTTAGCTATTCATGTATCCTAATCTTAAAAATGCTACAAAGTGTAAAAATAACTAAGAAAACTTTCATTTATCAAGGTTTTTTAAAAATCTCTTTACGTCTATTATCAAGCATTGTATTATAAACGAAATTTTAATTTGTTGGCAGGCCGGCCATGTGTGTTGGGTACAGACAAAAAATTACATTATCTGTAAAGTTTTTGAAAAAAAGATAACATAGAAAACTAAAAAAATATATCTTTGTCTATTCAGGTCCACTGGTTTGTAAAAAAGCCAAAAAATGGTATCTTACAGGTATCACAAGCTTTGGAGAAAAATGTTGTGGAAGCAATTACGGTGTCTACGCTAATGTCGCTAAACTTTCTGGTTGGATCAAAAAAATACTAAATCTTAAACTCCTTTAAATTTGAAAAATTTACCTGAAAGTGTATTTAAATGCAAAAAAAGGAATAAAGGAAAATTTGAAGTGCATATAAGCCTTATACGATTTTAGTATAGTTTGAAAGAGCAGTTTTCGAAAACTACAAATTTAAAAAAACAAATGAATTGAGATTAAAGTTTTCTTCGCAATTGCAGTTTAAAAGTCCAGATTTTGAATACATTTTTTCCCATTGGGGTCTGGTATCTAGTACATGTTGTGACGTCATGTATAGAACACAGTCGCGTAGGCTCTGTTGAAAACAAGTTATTTGCATTTTAAAATAATAAATAGTTTTGCCAATATTTCGAATTTTGCGTCGTTTTTTTTACAAAATGTCCTCATCTGGTCGGAAACATCATCTTCAGATTCATCAGAAAATGCAAATTATGATATAGAGTTGGAGGGCAGTGTTTTACCGGTATCTGTCCTTGCAAATTGGTATATCGCTTTGCGAATACATGGGCATTTGAATTACTATAATGTTCAGGAAGCGATTAATTACATGACGTCACCCGACCGCGCTGGCCCAGTCACTTAGCGGTAAAACCGAGCTCTTAAAATGGTATATTTCTGCAACTTTGATAGATTGTACAGCGCAAACTATTTGCATCGATTACATCAAATGGGGGTATAGGAAGACACGAGTTCCATGGGAGAGCCTTACGTGACAACTTGACAGCTAGGAAATGAAAGGGAAAATTATACATAGTTTCCAATTTCGATAGTTATTATTCTTCTCTGGCTGTCACTATTGAGCACTAATTCACATACAAATGTGTGCTAACCAGCTATCAAGATTCAAATCTTAAAACTAGTTACCCCCATTGTGTACATGTGTGTGGCCTATTAAGTATATGGCCGATTGGCCATAAAATGAAGTACATTAATGAGCATGATATAAAAACTATTATAATTTTAATATTTTTAAAATTTAGTCTTTAAAAATATTGAAGATTTTAAATGACCCATTGACTTTCATAATCTTTCTGCATTTAAACAAAATGAACGATAGCACAGCACTATAACCAACAACTACAAACAATAACGACCTTATCTAACAACATTTGAGAAATTAACCTTCCACTCCTCTTCCTTGTAAACCAGACAAGTCTGCTCAAAAGCAAAGAGCCTTATACGCTACAAGTCCCGGGCTTGTGACCGGTATAGCAGAGTTAAAAGGTGAAAGGTTTATCATAGATTAATCAACTGAATATTCCTGCTCATTTTTGAGCAGGAATATTCCTGCTCAAAAAGGAATATTCCTGCCCTATTTTTTGAATATTCCTGCTCATTTTTTTTTAACAAAAATGCTTCTCTTAGAAACATAGTACAATGAATTGCACTTTGAAGTAGTATAGTACATGGGGGTACGAGAGCACAGAAAGTGCTCTCATATCCCCCATGTACTATACTACTTTTAAACCTTGGGTAAAAACTTTCTTTAACAAACAATTGTTTTCAAAGGGGGGTAAAAATCTCGAGGTTACAATCTGTCGTTTAAAAAATAAATAAATGTTAAGAAAGCATCGGTTCGGAGGAAATTCGGCAGCGCAAATTTTAGCGTAGCTAAAATTGAGCAGGGGAGGAATTTCCGAGAATTCAGGCGACGATGGTGGGAAATTTTTCACTTCGTGAAAAATTGGAGTCGCCCCCCGTGGTGTCCGAAGGACGACAGACATAAAATATGCTCTTTACAAAATATGGAATCTATATGTTTTTGAAATATATAGGTGCGTTTAAATTTTAAAAACCGTCTTTAAGAATTAATTGTTAAGAAAGCATCGGTTCGGAGGAAATTCGGCAGCACAGAGCATAATGCAATATCATGAAATGATATTGCTCAGATGCTCGAGCAGGGGAATGGAATTTCCGAGAATTCTGGAACCCTGGTGGGGAAAATTTTCACGAAGTGAAAATTCGGGGTTCCCCCGTACATTCGATGAATTCGAAGAATTCGAGAATAACAGAGGCTTAATATATGCTCTTTAAAAAACTATGGAATCTATATGTTTTTTAATTTGTCCGTGAAGCGCGTGTCTTAGTGCATGTTTTTAACAATGGTTGTTTAATGTAGATAGCACATGTCACCAGCGCATGTATAATAATACAATGTTTTATAAATATCAGTAGCAGCGCGCTTTATAGTCTACGTGGTATATTTGGTAAACTAGTGGCCTTTAACAATGGTCTTAAAACTCAGCGCTTGGTAGAAATATTCTTTAATAATCAAGTGTTAATAAAGCATCTTTTTAAATCGTTGTATCGGGCGAGAAATTTCAGGCAACTAAGCCTGAAATTTTGAGCGCAACAATGTCATAGATACTCTTTACAAAATATGGAATCTATATGTTTTTTTAATTTTTGTTAAAAGTGTTTTTACTAATTGTTTCAGGATTTTGAATTTTTTTGTATATCGCTTTTGTATTAATTACTTATTACAAACAGTTATGTGATATGTAGTCAAACATGAGGAGCAGGTATGTATGATATTACTCTAACAGAGGCCCACGCTACATGCTTACTACACATTATAACTGTTTGTTAATATTTAGTTATTTGAATTGATAAGATAATGACCATAAGCATAACTTGTACAACCATTAGCTAATATGTACCGTTTATCATCAAAACAGCTAAGTGATACTTTATTAATTTCATAACTACTAAGTTGATGGTTTACACTTCTAATAGTTTTCATTGTATGATGTATTTGTTTCTTTTCAAATAGTGTTTTTTTGTAGTCTTCATGTTGTATTTCGTTCTTAATAATATTTTTCTTAATTCCTTTAGCTTTTTTATCTCCTTTATTATCATATGTTATATAACTATACATTTTAGACCGAAGACCTACAAATTCAGTTATTATTTTTCCAGCGGCTTCGTCTTTCATTTTACCAATAACCTTTTTATTAGTCTTATCATGATATTGTGAATTTTCTGTGTAATCACTAAAATCAAATTTATCTTTGTCAACCCAAAAATCTTGATAGGCATCTTCAGTTTCAATTTCATATGTTAAACTATCTGTGTCTGTGAAAAGAAGTTTAGCTTTATCACCATACCGCTTTTTGATATAGTTGTAATGAAAATCATACATAAGAACTTTACTTAAATCTAAGATGCACATACCCACATATGCCGGTCTGTTAAGGGTTAGTGTTTCTTTGATCTTATGCACAGCTACAAGGTTCTCGTTGAAAATTTTACTACTTACATAAGTAGGTTTTGAAGCTAATTTTAATAATTTATTTTTATTAGTTACTAGTCTAACATCTACTCTTTTTCGTAAGTTTTCCATTGTCTTACCAAAAACACTGTTATTCATGAGTTTGAAGAAGTCTTTTTCAAAAGAATTTTTTGCATTAGTTCTTTTTTGAGTATTAAAGTCTATGTATTTTTTCAACCATGGAGATTGATTAAATTCAAGTACTCTATGTACTTTTTTTAATTTTAACCCAAGATCTAAATAGAGTTGAAGATTTCTATAATGTAAAACGTATTTGTATTTATTTTGCAATGTAGGTATTAACTTATTAACTAAACCTGTTGATATATTGTAATTAGAAGCAATTGTCTTACAATATTTTGACAACATTTTGCTAGTTACTTTAACTTTTTCTGGTGCAACAGGATAATCGTTATGTAAATCATGTAGTTTTTCAGGGTATTCTAAATCAACTTCTAAAATTAAACCTTTTTTACTATCTGCTTGATATTCAGCAAGGTTTATGTTGTTAATCTGTTTATCAGTTAACCATTTGAAATTACCAGTAGGTAAGTTTTGTGACATAGCCCACCCATACAGATTGTTAGCATCTAAATACGTTAAATACTTCGATGGCTTATTATTATCATAAGATGATTGATATTTGTTATTAGCTTTACCATATCGATTAGCAATATAACTAACGCCTCCTCTCATACCCTTTTCAATGAATTGAAACATATCAATATCTGTCATTAATTCTAATTTAATATCTGTCATCTTTAACATAGCATCCCAAGACAACCCAGGAGATGTGAAATAGTGGCATGGGTCTAATTTATAGTATTCTAAGCATGTTTTCCTAAAGTTTTCAAATACATCACTTAATAGAAGGATATCAGATTTCAGATACAGGTTGTGATACTCACCCATGTTTTTAAGATTGAATGTATTCCACACTTTTTGTGCATGATGGTATTGTTCATCTGATATATTATCAGCAGTAAGAATACTATAAAAGTCTTTTTTTGAAGGTAATTTTTCATCAAACTTTTCAAAGCTATCCATATAATCATATGGGTATATACCTTTTTGAGTCATTAAATTAAATTTTTCACCTTGAAACTGCTTATAGGTATATTTAAATGAATCTTTAGGTAAATTACAAACTAGCTTTTCCAGACTAGAGCTCATAAATTGATAACTATCAATAAAAGTAAGATGGTTACCTAACATAAAAGCCATATACTTTTCCATATTATTAGGTATAGCATTTATATTCATTTCAATTTCCTCACCTTTTTTGTTTTTGTATGTATGCTTCTTAACAATATTTCCTATTTCTTGCATAATAAAATGGCTATCATATCCACGCAGATTGTGAAATATTACTGGGATCTTTAATTTATCAGGGTCTATTCTAAGTTTTAAATTACAATCTTGATGCGCTGATCCTCTGTATTTACCAGTAATATGACAATGGTCTCGAACTCGAATATCTTTGTTAGTATATTTTTTGTTACAGATATGACATTCATCAGCTTTTTTAAATTCTTCTTCATTATCAGAGGTCATTTTTAATGGTTTATTAAAGTGAGTTTTCATAATATTTTTACAATATTTAACTTCTTTTAACATAGATTCCATAAATTTGTAAACAGCCTTTTCACCCCTATATAGTTGAATTGGTTTCGTGATTTTATCATCATAACAACAAACAACTTTATATCCATAGCCACAGTCTGTATGTTTCTGATAGGCTTCTGTATATGATTTTT